CTGGAGCTCAGAGGGAGTGAGTCTGAGTAAGTCCATGTGTGGGTTCTTTAAGAGGAACTTCTTGGGACTCCCAAAGTTTCTTCCACACTCAGTACCCGCTGGTTTTTGCAGCCAGTTGTGGGGACTTACCTTTCTGGCACTGGAACCCTGGGCTGGGGGGCCTGGGACTCCTCATTCCCAAGATATCCCTCCCGAATTTTTATCCTCTATATGCGGGTGTGGGATCAGCCAGATCTGCATCTCTGCCCTGCTTATCATTCTGGATGGATGTGGTTTAATTATGTAGTTGTCAGACTTTCATTCAACTCCATTTATCAGGGTTCTGAGCGATGGTTGTTCTATATTTCAGTTGTAATTTTGATGTGGTTGTGCAAGGAGGCAAGCTGTTTATCTATGCTGCCATCTTGACTATAAGGCTAAATAGTTAACTCTTTCATTGCTTGATTGGAATATAGTTTAATGGCAATGAACAATGTGGGGCTATTCTGAACTTAGCAGTGAAAGGTCTGAAGATTGATTTTTGTTACAAAATTCAGAGTAGTGTATGCAATAAAGTGCTGAAAAGTAGAATCAGAGGGGGTCTTCAGGGTGCTTTATTTTATGCCTTCACGTTTTGGTAGCAGGATAAAATGGGACTGGATCAGCGAGTTACAAGGAAAGATGAGGAGGACGTCTCCAGAGAGCAATTTAATTGACAGGTTTCAGCCATTTATTTGTGGATTCAGACCCCATACCACATACCACTGGTTTTCAAACTTTAAAACCACCTGGAGGGTTTGTAAAAAACAGTTGCTAGGTCACACCCCAGTTTCTGATTCAGTAACTTTGAGATGGGGCCCAATGATTTGCATTTTTAACGAATTCCCAAGTGAAGATGCTGCTGGTCCCGAGACTGCACTTTGAGAACCAGCCACTAGGTATCCATATACCCATTCAGTTATCCTATTAACTTTTAATAAGTACCACATTTAGTCTATAGCCTACAAGCCAACTACAAGTGAAATAATGAGAAGACAATTTAAAATTTTAAATGATAGTATCAGTTCTGAGGTTTATTTACCTTAATAAAGGGGATAAAGTTGATTTTAGATGTCCGTTAAAATTCAGTAATAACAGTGAGTTGAAATTCACACATTTATGTAAAAAAAAATCTTCTACTATGGTACAGGTACATAAGGTAATTCAGGAGAAATGACAATGTCTAGGATTTGCTCTAGAGTATGCCAGCACAAATAAAAAGGGAGAGGGGTCCTAAATGAAAGAATATTGGCAAAATATTGGTATATGTGGAAGCTGAGTGATGAGTACCATGGGGTTCATAACGCTATTTTTGTGTATGTTTGAAAATTTCTTTGAGAAAGCTCTCAAAATTCACATCTTCATTGATATTCATTGAAAATATAGTTGACATGTAAGAAGTGTGAACTGCATTTAAAACGAGGTTCTTATGGCAATCTCAGCAACAGTGATAACATAGTCATTGTAATAGACTAGGCCTGAAATGTAACTCTTGATTTAGAAATCCCCATGGTGGGCACAAATGGGTACGACAAATAGCTGCTTGAAATACCTGCATCTAAACTCTCTGCCTTTATGGATCCTTTATCCCTTCCCTTTTTACCCCATCAGATTGCTTGCAGCTCCTGAAATTCTCAGGGTCACTCCCTCTACAGACCCACAAAAACCCTTCTCTGCTACCTGCCTCAAAGGGGCAGTGGCTTTTAGGTCCCGTGCTTGTTCAAGCTTTCTTATGGTGACTACATTCTCTCTTGGGACAACCAGGCCAGTCTTTGTGTGGCGGGGAATGTTAACTATGGTTCATATTTTTATACATTTTAAAAATCAACTTTTCATGACTTACAGAATTCTATAAATTAACATGAAAATGGATGTCTTTAAAAAAAAAAATGACTTGATGTGTACCTTAATACCTGGCCCGATGGCATAAAGTGTATTAAGGAGGTTACATTTTAGTATTTTTAGGAGAGCTATTTCTTTTTTTCTGGAAAAGTAGAAAACATACAAAGTAATAAGATATCATTTTAAAGAATAGTACTTTATTGAATACGTCTTATTCACAGAAAAATAAGCTTTAATCTATGACTGCCAGATTATGCAGTGGAAAGTAATTTTCTTAGTTTTCCATACTGATGGAAAGATTTCTACTAAGTGAAAAAAAGCCATAAAATTATATTCACAAATATAGTACTCTATCTCAAAACATTTCACACGATTATTCACAACACTAATACAATGACATATCAATCTGCCACTCTCTCGGGTTAGATAAGGTAGAATAGTAATGAAAAAAAAAACACACAATTTTCAAACAAAAATTGCATAAAAGCTTTTGTTACATCAAATCAAAAATACAAATGTGTAACTAAGCACAGAAAAAATGACAATATATACTTATACAGTAATTTTAAATGTTACATTAGTGATACACACTAAGAATGCAGTAAAATGCCAAAAAAATCTGTACACGTATCTTCAAACTTTAGACTTCAAAATAGAATCTTACCACCCAAACATTAATGTAGTATTACAATTTGAAGATATACATATTTAAGATTGTCCTATTGTATTAGCTATAAAGTGTCATTTAATACGTAGTGAAAGTTATGGTATAAAACAAAGAATAGTTGAAAAATAAACTTTTGAGACCTCCCAGGAGAGGAAGCTTAAGTTTTTCACCTTCAAACTAAGTCCCAGTCTGGGCTGCCATTAATTAGCTATATAGCTTTGAACAAATCACTTCACCTTTGAGCCTCAGTTGTAAAATGAGGGGGATGAATTAGATACTCTCTAAGGTCACTTCTAGCTTTGACACCCTATAATTCTACTATGCTGCAAGTGAAATTCACATTGTGCTAAGTATATGAGTCAAATTGAAACTGATAATGAAGGTGGGAATAAGCCAATTGTTTCTATTAGAAAAGCTCAACTAAATTTGAGAAGTTTTTCAAGTTTTTAAAAAAGTTGAAATATTTTTAAGGACTTGACCAATTTATTTATTGCAGTTTACATCTTAACGATGAGGAACACCAAAAAAGATGAGTTAAGAGTCACTGAAAGACTTGTCATTTAAATTCAGCCCAAAGTTCCAGAGTCAAGGCAAACCGGAAGGTAACAGAGTATTAGGAAGGGGGTTAATATTGATAGCAGGTTTTCACACACCTGATCTTGAACTCTCCTAAATGTAAGACAGGCACTATTCTCATTTCACAGATGAAGAAATGGCAAATTTTTTAAAAAGTAGATTTCATTAAAAATAACTGCACCTGTCAAATATTCCCTCCCATTTTCTTATTTCTCCAATGGAAATGATACACAACTGACTGCATTTCTCCCACCCCTTCGCCCCCTTCTCCCATATTCAACTCAACATCTGAGTAATCAGGAAATAAAGCAGTGATTTGGATCTAAAGGGTAAAATACATGCCAACTAATGCTGTGGTGGTAGTCTCCCATTCGGGGAGTTCAAGATACCAATTTTATCCACTAAAATGAAAACAAGAAGAAAACAACTATCAAAATTTAAATATTAGAACAAAAACAACAAAAGATCATAATACACAGGGTCACATCACATTATGTACACTTACTACACTTACCCTACCTCATCTTAGGCCCTAACCAATGGGGAAAAAAAGCAAAAACACACATACAGACAAATCTATCAGGAAAAGTGATATAAAGCCATTAATTAATAAACTGGAATTTATAAACACTAAACCCATCTCTCAAAAATTAAGAGGCTTTTGATCAACACACCAAATTATTATGAATAAAGATAACTATTACAAACAACTTGACTCTTCACATGACTAAATGTAGTAAAATTGGTGGTGACTTTGAAATCTTCATATAGAAAAGAAGTATAAGTATCTACATGTAGACACTGAGAACTATTCTGAGAAAGCGGGAGGCAGAGATTTGGATCTGCTTATATTCTTGACCTTGCAAGTGACCATTGTTTTTACAATTAGATGGGGGAGAATCCAGTGCTTTTTAAAAGTGTGAACACAAAGATGGGTTAAGTCTCAAAGTCTGGTTCGAAGTTAGAGTGCTGAGTGATTTAAGAACCTGAAGCAACAACATTTCTAAACAATTCTTAAAATAAACTTGTTAGTCACATCAGCTTCATGCATTAAATTTCACAACTCATGGGGAGAAAAAAGGTCTTGCTTAATTCTAAACACACAAGTTTTAAAAGAAGAGTTTTAATGAACCGAGGCACCCAGAACAGGAATGGCCTTATGTTGAAACAATTCAGTCCCTGGCCAACAACTAGATCGAACTACCTACCTGACCTGGGGCTGACGTGTCCTGGAAAACACATTTTAAAACCTTTAACACTTTTCTCCCCTTGTAATTTAAAGCTTAGACTACACATGCACATTTTAACTTAATATATACTAGTAAAACAGAAACAGGACAGACATTTTATTTAAAAAATTCTCATTTAAATTTGCGATGCTTTAAATGAGTATCAAAGCAGAAATCAACAGAGATTAGGAGAACATGACAATACTCTTTCTCTTAGAAAATAGAATAATTATAATTTTTAACAGTTTTAATCTCAAACTTTTCTCTCCAGTAAAATGCCTCACTTATCTCTACAACAGGTTGTTGTGAAAATCTTGTAATTAAAGCCTTAGTGGGCCCTGACTAGCGTGGCTCAGTGGACTGAGCAACAGACCTGCAAACCAAAAGGTCGCCAGTTTGATTCCCAGTCAGGGCACATGACTGAGTTGCAGGCCAGGTCCCCAGTTAGGTGGGTGTGAGAGGCAACTGATCAATGTTTCTCTTCCTCTCTTTCTCCCTCCCTTCCCCACTCTCTAAAAAAACCCAAAAAAGTAAATAAATAAAATCTAAAAAAAAAAAAAAAAAAAAAAAAAAAAAAGCCTGGGTGGGTATTCCATGAAGTATTTTTAAACTTCCATTTTTTATCTATATTGATTCTTATTCAAGTTTTTTGTCTTTAATATTTAAACAAATATTCTTCTTTCCTTGTCAATAGTTTATAATTTCCAAAAGGTCTTTAAGGATCTTGAGAGAACATGTACTTCAGAGTTAAGCATTACTATTACTAGTCAAGAAAACAAAAAAAAAAGGTAGAGGAGACTTGACATTTTGTCTTATATACATCTTAATCATCTTAACAGTAAAAACTCACATGAAACTTTACAATACAAGATATGAGAATCTCAACATGGAAAGCTTTCACTACAACTACAAGCAGTATACAAACATGCTTCTACTTTTACCTACATAAGCTGACAGATGTTTAAAATACTGGGTTAACAAACATCTTTTAGTAAAGTGACTTAGGCAGGCTTAAACTAGCAAGGATTAAGGATGAATCCTTACTAATTAATTGGAAGATCTGAGACATATTTTATATTTCATTTTACAAAGTCAGGAATATTTATTTTGAAACAAGAGAAGAAGACATGGTCTACCTGTCAGAAAACTACCACTCAGAAATATTTTTCATCCACAAAGCAGGACAAACATAAAGACATTTAAATTTCACATTGGTACCAAAAAGGTTAACTGCCCTGCCTTCTTGGATTAGAAAAACTAAAGCTGAGCAATAAGTAGTTTTGCAGGCATTTGAACATGCCTAAGCCTTTAAATCAGTAAAATTCTTTCTAAAAATTCTGATTACAAAAGTAACTCATACTTACAAAAATTCACACAGAACAAAATGAAAAAAGTAGAAAGTGAAAGGTCCCTGTAAAGCCCCTCTGGGACCCCCCCACCCCCTCAAGAGAAACCCCATTTAACAGTTTGGTACATATCTTTCCCAGTCTTTTGTTCCATATATACACAAATGCAAACAACCTTCATTTGGCTCATTTGATACAATGTAGGGTAGATGGCATTCTATCATTAAATACCCTTTTAACAATGGCAAAATCATTTTAAAAAATCATCCACACAAGTATGTATGTATAATTTTAAAAGAAAATAGACAAAATCTAAAACACAAAGACTAACATCTAAAAATAATCTCTATCTTTTCACCAATGTGGAAGAGTTCACTCCTTTTTCACATAAAACAAATTATATGATTGGAGAGATTAATCTCCACGTTTCCACGGAATGCTCCACCTGCTAAGCCTACCTGAAAATAATGAAAAATTTAGCTGATTAATTCACTTACACTTCAAAGCCAAGTCAGTGTACTACAAATACACATTGCAATCGGTTACAATATGATGCTTCTTAGTCTATGGTTTCAGTTAATAGTTAGGAAAAAAAAGGATAGATATATAGCTAGTATTTTGAAAATCCAGAAATTCAAATTTTAGATTGCCAACTATAATACTGCAGTTTACAATTTTTCTTCTTGGGAGCAAATGCTAATGGAATTCAATGTTGATTACTTAAATTTGGTTCACATCACACATTCAATCAGAGTAATAAGAATATAACACGTCTACTGTAGAGTTAGATTAAGACATAAAAATTTTTTGCCTGAAAGTAATGACTGTGTAGCACATGGGACATTTATCAACTGCTTCAGCACATTGTTTACAAGTGACCAGATGTCCACAAGGAATAAACACTACAGCAATAGTTCTATCCATACAGATTTTGCAAAGCTTCTCCTCTTGCAGGAGCCTTAGCTGCTCTTCAGTACTAATCTCTGTACAAAGAGAAAAGAAATTAGTTAATTGTAGACTTTCTTAGTTGTTCAAATTCACTGATACAATTTGAACCCCTCCTATGTGCCAGGTGCTAATCAAGTGTTGGAAGACAGGACGGCTTACACATGGCCTCTGCTCTAGCAGGAAAGGAGGTGAGCTGAGGCCATGAAGGTAAGCACAAAATACAAAGCGGGAAGTGCTCTAATAAAGCTCGGGGACGAGATGAGAGAACAAGTTCTTCTGTTCAGACTAGCTGGGGAAAGCGTCATGGCTTGGCAGCTGCTGGGTGCGGGGAGCAGGGAAGTGGAGGAATGACATTTAAACGTGGCCAGCAATTTGCCAGGCAAACGAGCAAGGGTTAGGCAAAAGAAGTACTGCACAGAAAGGGTATGGCTTATTCTGCAAATGGAGGGATGGATCTGAGGGACACTTCTGAAGTGGGACAAGTAGGATTTGGTGACTGACTGGATGTGAGGGATGAGCAAGAAACAATATAGTTGATTTCAAGATTTCTACTGTGGCTGACAAAGGGCTGGTGATGCCAATAGGAAATATAAAAGGACGTACAGGTCTGGAATTTTCAAGGTATTTTGGAGGTGTTTTCAGGGCATCTATATAAAAATGTCTAGCAGGCAACTAGAGAGTCAAGTCTTGAGGTCGGAAGTCAGCATTAGAGATAGAGATTTGGGTGTCATCAGCATATGGATGGTATTTAAGTACCTGCTTAATTCAGCCTTTCCCAAACTAGGCTTTGTGAAATGTTAATAAATATGCCACAAAAACATGTTTTGTGGTCTTATATAACTAAAATGACAAAAATCAACAATAACAGCAGTTACCAGTAATATAACACATTACCATGTGCTAGGCACTATTCCAAACACATTACATACTTTAACAATGTTTGTAATCACTGTATACCAGTGATTTCTAAATCTGGCCTCACACAAGAATTATCTGGGACATTTGTAACAACATATTCCTAGGCCTCATTCACAGAATCTAAACTATTTGGGGTTGAGCCCACTGGCATTTGGAAACTGCTGCTTTCAAGTTCAGGGCAGTATAATGTAGTGTATATCCCCACTTAGAAGTTCGCAGTGCATTTCCCTATTGAATGATAGAGCTCCTTTTTCATGGCATCCCTTTTAGCATCCTGGGGAACACTGTCAGGAAAAGAAGTTTGGGAAATAGTGGTTTAGTTTTTCTCAACTAGTACTTACTGAACACCTAACGAGGTTCTAGGCACTAGAGACAGAACAATTATATACATAGCCCTCAGCCCCCAAATCATTCAGACAAGTAAGGGCCACAAGTATACAGGAAATTATAGTACAGCGTTAAGATAAAGGTAGTTAGAATGTGTTATGAAGAACACAGGAAAGGTCTAAGTGCATGCACATATGTGCACGCATGAACACTTAAAGGGAAGGCCTCCTAGAGGAATAAACTAGGGAGAGGGAGAAGGCCTTGGGGGCAGTGGAAGAAGGGTGCTCTAGGTTGAGGAAACAGCATGAGTAGGCTCCAAGGGGAGAGGGAGAACAGGCACTGCAAGTCCACAGGTAAGGCTTGGGAATAGAATTTGAAGGGGAAACAGCATGAAATGAGGCTACAGGAGAGGGTAGGAGGAGCCTGATCCTGAAATATTTGGCAACCCATGTAAAGGAGTTTCAACTTGATTCTCAGGGCCCTAGGAGCCAGTGAAGGGTTTTAACCTAGAGAGAGATAATGTTCATATTTGTGCTTCAGAAAGGTTTCCCTGATCAGGAGTGCAAGAGAGGGTTGTTTAAATCTCCATTTTCTTAAAAGGCAACCTCCTGGGCATAACGAAAACTATAGGCTCAAACATGGAACTTATCAGAGACAAGAATATAAAGCCCCTAACCTCAAGAAGCCTAATTGGCAGGAGGAAAAAAAAAAAAAAAAAAAAAAAGCAGTTCCAAAATAATGTTACAAGTGCTCTAAGAGCACTGAGCAGAGAAGTAGGAGCTCTGAACTCTACTATGGGTACTGGGGAAAACTTCAAAGACGTGACCTTTGAGCTGGGCCTTGAAAGATGAGTTAGTTCACAAGATGGACTTAGGGAACTGGGGGCGGAGTGGGGAATGAGACCAGGTATACAGACAGGGAAAAGGCATTCAGGACAAAGGAAACAACTTGAGTAAAGGGACAGAATTATAAACTGACTTATGTTATATAAAAGTGTATGACCGAAAGAGTAAGAATGAAATGCATATTCATGCTATTGTCATAACCAGCTGTAAGCAGAAGAATATGAAAAAAAGGGACTTGGTTAAGGAAAAACAGAGATGACAGGCTTTCTGCTGCCACTCAGAAGTAAAGGGGCTCAGAGAACAGGCAGCAAAAGCACAAAAGGCAAATGAGAAGGAACCCAAGTAGCTTGGCAGCTTCATGTCCAACCCTCTTGCTCTTTGCCTTGAGTCTGTACTGGGTCTCTTTAGCTCTTCCTTCCCCACAGATACCCTCGTTCCCATGGACCACTCCTGGGATGCGAGGAGACTACCCCTTCCGAGTGTTTTTTAGTCCTGTGAGGTTTACCTCAATGTATTAAAAGTAGCTTTATAATTTGAAAAAAGGAATAGCCCTGGCTGGTGTGACTCAGTGGATTGAGCTCCGGCCTGTGAACCAAAGGGTCGCCAATTCGATTCCCAATCGGGGCACATGCCTGGGTTGCGGGCCAGGTCCCCAGGAGGGGATGTGTGAGAGGCAACCACACGCTGATGTTGCTCTCCCTCTCTCCTTCCCTTCCCCTGTCTCTAAAAATAAATAAATAAAATCTTTAAAAAAAATAAAAAGAGGAGGAAAAGAATAAAGTAATTTATACATTACTTTTGGATGTGATGCTGCAATGAGTAGGAAACAATGGGCCAGATGCCTAGAGTAGTCAATTTTATAGAGACAGACAGCAGAATGGTATCTGCCGGGGGCTGGCAGGAAAGGGAACGGGGAGTTGTTTTTTAATGGCTACAGAGTTTCAGTTTTGTAGATGAAAAGGGTTCTGGACATTCATTGCAAAATAGTGTGAATGTACTTAACACTACTGAACTGTAAACTTAAAAATGGTTAAGATGGTAAATTTTGTTATGTATAGTTTACCATTATTTTGTTTTTAATTGAAAAAAGGAACATTGGACCAGAAGTCTGGAAACCTGAATTTCACTCCCAACTGCCTGGGTGATCTTGGGCAACAGCACATCTGCACTTCAGTTTTCTCACTGCAGTAATGAAAGTTATATAATCTTTAGGGTTTCTCTTGGTTCTGATTCTTTGAGATTCCTTATACAGACCACAATGGAATGAGCTGTCATGCCTACCAAACACTGATATCTACTCTACTTTTTCTACCTTATTTCAGCAATGCATACAGATCCTTACTTGAGATGGTGATGCTCTGGGCATAGATTTCCCCCCCCCAGACTAATAGCTGACCTCTGGTAATACTTCACTCTAGCCTTAACTGTTCATTTCGTTGAAGTGTGGTCATATTATGTTATGGACTAAATATCTGTCTTCCCAAAACTCGTATTTTGAAGCCCTAACACCCAATGTGATGGTACTTGGAGACGGGGTCTTTGGGAGGTAATTAGGTTTAGATGAGGTCACGAGGGTGAGACTCCACCATGGGATCGGTGTCCTTAAATAAAAAAAAGGAGGAGAAACCAGAGTGCTCTCTTTCGGCCATGTGAGGATGCAGAGAGAAAGCAGCCACCTGCAAGTCTGGCAGAAGTTCCCATCAGGAACCACACCTGCCTGCATCTAGATCTTGGACTTCCCAGCCTCCAGATCTGTCGGAAATAAATGTCTGTTGTTTAAGCCACCCTGTCTATGGTATCCTTTCACATCAGCCCAAGAAGACTAACACACAGTATTAGAAGTTTTCTTTAAAAAGTCCTTATTTGTTAGATACCTGTTGGAATATTTAAGGTAAATGATACCTAGGATGTCTAGGAATCACTTTGAAATACTATAGCCAAAAACAACTCCCCTCAAAAAAACCAAAACAAAAACACCCATTGGGGGAAGGCACGACACCAGACTGGAAAAGTGCTGATAATTACTGAAGCTGGTTGATGGGTACCTCAGGGTCCATTATATTCTTTTCTCCACTTTTGCGTATGTTTGACATTTTTCATAATAAAATGTTAAAAAATGTCTATCTTAAGGTGCATGTGAGAAGAGGGAAATTAATGGGTCACAAAGTCATATAAGATACTATCCATAATGAAGTACTCTTGGGTGTCTCTTGCTTTTTAAAACCAGCCAGGTATACCTTTCTGCAATGAAGTCTGACTTGATTCATCTTGCGTGTTGTCTTTCTGAGCACTCACTAGATCTGCAACCAGAACCTCGAGTGATTTATAGTTGCTCCCAGATGTCTGAATTTTTTCCTCCATTATTTTCTTAATATCCCTGAAATTGAATCCCATTCGTATAGCTTCATGTACCATAGGATTCTGAAGGATAGTATCATCTGAAATGAAAATTGGTGAGGAAAAAGAACAGAGTTTAAACAATTATTTTCATTAATACAACTCAACACAAAGTTTACTTAAAAAAAATTTAAGCAGCAAGAAAAACAACAACAACAAAAAACCCCAAGAAACCAAAGCTGCTCTGAACAGAAGTTTGAAATACTTAGGCACTGAAGGATCGCTTTCAGAATTTTTGTATTTTGCAGCACTATGAATTAAGTGCTTTAAAGACTTGATGAAACAGTGCAAGATAAAGTAAAATAGATAAGAAAAGGGTTAAATGCTTAAAAAATTTGAACATTTTTCAAATCAGATGTTCTCATTAACAACCAACCTAAGGTACTTAAAGAGTAGATGTCTTCTTTACCAAGTCCCTAGCAATTATTCCGAAAAAATAATGGGAAATAGGGGGAAGTCCCAGTGTGATTTTGAAGGTATCGGTTTCCTATTTCTCAGACTTAGTTTCTATAAATAAAGGGGGGGCAAACTAGATATGGCAAGGAAGCAAAGAAAAACTCACTTTTATGATACTCAAAGCAGGATACAGGTTATGTAAGAAAGCACTAAACAGGAGATTTATACCCTCTCATTCATCAATTCTACACCTATTAAAAATGATGCACATGCCCACAAAAGACGTACATAAGAATATTCATAGCAGTATTATTTTTAACAGCCCCAAACTGGAAATTCAAATGTCCATCATCAGGCGAATGACTAAGTACACTGTGGTATATTCAAATACTACACAGCAAGAAAGAACGAACTACTGCCATAGACGACATGATGAATCTCACAGAGAGAAAAACGTCATCATAATCATAATGATGAACTGGAGACAACACACTACATACTGTATGACTCCATTTATAAGATGTTCAAATCTAACCTATGGTCGTAGGAGTTAGAATATAATTGGGGGTTGATTTTGACTGGGGCATGGAGGGATGTGATGGTAAGAAACAGTATGGTAACGAAGGATATTTTCTAAGTAGGGAAGTAACATGATTTATGTTTGACAAAAATTCTGCCAGGAGGTTACAGTGCAAATAAAAGATCAATAAGGAGACTGCTACAGTAGCCTGGATAAGAAATAAGGGCAGAAACCAGGGCAGAACCAGTGGATTTTAGACAATATTACAAAGGTGGAATTTATCAGACTTGGTGATTGATTAAATGTAGAGAGATTACAGAAAGCAAAGAGCTTACAATGACTCGAATTACAGGACAACTTTGTGAATTGTGATACTAACACAAGGGGGAATAGAGCAGGGCTGAACTCATCTGCGTGGTTTTCAAAAGAGAAGCTGAATTTGAGCCGTTTCTGAAATTTCTAGGTGGAGATGTCCAGAAGTCAGCCGGACATCACTCTTTCCTGGTTCTACTGACTGACCGTTTTTCTCCCCCAATTTTTTGCTGGCTCCTTCTGCTCACCTGATTAGATAGTGATGGTTCCCTCATTTGATCTCCCCTTCCTTTTTAACAATCTCTCTGGACACTTTCCCTATTACCACAGTTTCACCCTCATTTATGAGTTCCAGGTTTTAACATTCACCTACTTGGATATCCTGCAGGTACCTGAAGGTCAGCTTGCTGAAAACCAAAAGCAAGAACAGGATATCCACATGAAAAAGAATTAAATGTGCCACTACCGCATACTATATACAAAAATTAACTCAAAATGCATCAAAAGCCTGAATGTAAGAGCTAAAAACATACAACTCTTAGAAGAAAACTTAGGGTGACCTTGGATTGGGCAATGGTTTCTTAGATGTGACATCAAAGCATAAGCAACAAAAAAGAGATAAATTTGATTTCACCAAAATTAGAAACTTGTATGCTTTAAAGGACACCAACAGGAAAGTGAAAAGACAACCTACAAGACGCGAGAAAATATTCGCCAATCATATATCTGATAAGGGACTTATATATAAAAAGAACTAGAATATATAGAGAACTCTCACAATTCAATAATAAAAACACAAATAACCCAATGAAAATACGGGCAAAAAAGACGAACAGACATTTTTCCCAAGAAGACATACAAATGGCCACTAAGCAGGTGAAAAATGCCCAACATCATTAGGCGTCAGGGAAACACACACACACACACAATGATGAGATACTACTGCATATCCATGAGATGGCTGTAATAAAAAGACAAACAATTACAAGTGTTCACAAGGATGTGGAGAAACAAAGTGGAATCTTCATACACTGCTGGTGGGAATGTAAAATGGTGCAGCCACTTTAGAAAACTTTCTGGCAGTTTACTGGAGGGTTAAACATAGGAGTTACCATATGGCCCCGCAACTCCATCCCTAAATATATACCCAAGAGAATTAAAAACATACGTCCACACAAAAACTTGTACATAAATGTTAATAGCAGCATCAGCTATGTCCACCAACTGACAACTGAATAAACAAGGCGTATTACCCACACAAAGAAATAGTTTTCTACCATAAAAAAGAAATACTCATACATGAGTGCTACAAAATGGGTGAACCTTGAGGCCATTAAGATTCATTTAATATGAAATGACCAGGATAGGCAAACTCACACAGATAGAAGTAGATTAGTGGTTGTTTGGGTCTGGGGAGGTGGAGGCAGCAAAGGGGAGTGACAGCTAATAGGTATGGTGTTTCTTGTTGGGGTTATGATAATGTTTTGTAATTAAACAGTAGGAATGGTTGCACAACCTTGTGAATATACTAAAAATACCAAAAAGTATACTTTATAATGGTGAAAATTTTGCAAAATCAATTATATTTCTATTAAAAAACATTAATCCTAAAGCAAGAGTCTTATTAGTCATAAAAAGAATAGTATGCACTGTAAAGATGATTATCAAGAAATGTTACAGACTCTTTGTTTCTGGATAATTTCAAAAATATCAGCTGGAATAAATGATTTCTTAAACTGTATTATTTATTCCCATTACAAAACCCTTATCAAAGTGGCTCTCCTTCTCAAGCATATTTACGAGTACATATAGTATTCTCTTGCTATGAGTATAGGGAGGGGGGAATCACCAAACATATTCTCAATTAAACTTTCTACTATTTTTGAAACATGCCTCCGTTAAGAATGAGATCCGTAGTGCGATGTAGGATTCAGAAGACCTTGTTTATAGTTCTAGCTCCACCAACGAGTTGTAACCTAACTGTGAACAGGTCACTTAACCTCTGTGACTCTGTTTCTTCATCTGAAAAGTGGGGATAACAACATCTTCTTCACTTAACATATTACCTTTCTCTGCCCACTTTCTGGTTTTCAAAGATGTCTATGGTGAATAAATAATCTTTGCCATATTACAAATTTCTACCTCTCTGTGAGGTAATAGGGGCTAAACAAACCCAAATATACCCCTCTGTGAAGATGGGAAAGGTACAAAGATGACATAGAATAAATAGGCAGGCAGGTTAGGGCTGATCACGGTGATGACACATGAGCGGATCACTGGATTCATGATCCTGGTTAACTAACGCAGCCCCCAAAGTGGTGATGGACAACCTAGAGCCGCTCCTCCCAAATCTGGAAAAGCTAACTGTCCGACCTCTGTAGGAATGTTCTGAGTATATAAATATCCTACTGAAATTTATAGGCACTTCATTACTTTTAAACTGATAGCAATCTCATCTCAAATAAATACACCTTGGTGAACCTGAAAAAATATGTTTACTCTTCTACCTTATAAATAACAAGTTGGCAATGAAATTAAAAGGATATTTATTACAATAAGCATATTTACCAATTCTTTTAGTTAGTGACGGTGTTTTCTCATCATTTCTTCCCTAAAATAGAAATATAAATTATAAGTTAAAATTCCTTTTGGTGGAAGGCAATTACTTCAATTTGAAAAGTTACATTAATCACAAAGGAAAAATTGGCTTTCTTCCAATTCAACATATGAATATTCCCATGAGGTATAGCCCAATGAAGCTAGAAGGAAGTTAAAAGGTCATCTAACCCAACCCATTCAATTTACAGACAAGAAGTTGAAATTCAGGAAGATTAAAAAACTTGAATGAGGCAATACAGCTGATGGCAGAACCATAATGGCAACTGTGTTCCCCCAGAGCTGTCCTCATAAGTAGTTTATAACTATTTATGAGTACAAAAGTCAAATTTGAGAAGGCTGAGAGATCAAAGTATTTTAGTTCTTCAAGCCCATTTTTTGCATATAGTGACATTAACTCAGTTCATCCGAATACCCTTTCACCAATTTGCTTCAGGTTAAGAATAACAAGCACTTTTCACCAAGCCCCTGTTAAAGCTCACCATACAGTATTCATTTAAAATACAATACTGTGAATTTTATACCAAGAAATCATTGTAAAACAAGTTACATAATATCTGAAAATACATATTCTACAATATTTGACTTACCACAGACTCCTCAAGTAAATGGGTTAAATGAATATTGTTTACATATTCTTGTCCCTTCTCTTCTAACAGATATTTACACCTAAACGAGAAGGTTAAACTTTAGTAGCTGGAAAATTAGTAAAGTGTATGATATCATCTCCCTCATCTTAATTCCATTACCTTGCTTTTCAGCATTTCTAAGGAGCCATAAAATGCTCCCTTTGTTATACTACTTATTGTAGGTTCTCTTGTACCCGCTGTAAAAAAGCCTACTTCCAACAACTACGAAAGTATACATTCCTAATTTGGTGTTTAGAAATGGAATCATCTGAATGTCATAAATACAATATACAAGTAATGCATGTTTTTGTCACCAGAGAAGACTTAGGTGTTTTTTTCCCCTATAAAGTAGGTGACCCCATTTTTATAAACCTGGTGTGAATTTCAAGGCTTGGGAAGGCAAAAAGAGTTGAGGTGAAAAGTTATTCAAGTCTTCCCACTGCAGACTGTCCAACTTGGCTGTTACTGAATGAACATTTAAATGCGTTACCCTGGAAACCACCTAGCATGCTCTTCCCAAGGGTCCTCACTGGGCTTCCAATCACTTAGACCTCCTCCACAATGAAAGCACTTGACTTTATCATCTTCACCTAAGAAAGCACACAAGTAAAAATACATGTATTTTATACAATTAGAAGCTTACACAGAAACACCCTTTTTTAACACTATGAAATGAAGCATTTCTAAGTTATATAAAAAATGTATAGCTTAAAAAAAGACATCCACCCTGAGGAGGGTTGGGGGTGATGGGATCTAGCCAAAAAGAAAAGAAATTCATGGACAGGGAAGACAGGGTGGGACTGCCGCGGGGGGGGGGGGGGGGGGGGGGGGGAAGGGTGGAAGTGGAGAAGAGTATAAGGGGGATGAATGGTAATGGAAAAAGGATAATAAAACGTAAAAATACATTCAAATTCACATCTAAGTAATAGACATGATCATTTGAGGAGGAAATACACATTAAATTCACTGATTCAACTGGAGGTATTTTCTAGAACAAAAATAAAACTGCCTGATTTTTATGTAGAAAATTATAATTGTTCCATTCTTTTTTAACATATGTCATTTGGGGACAAAAGCTTACTTTTTCACACTGTGAAACTTTAATAATAGTAAAGTTTAATGCATAATGAAATTACAAAGTAAGTTTCTCTAACGTTATAGCTACATGACACTAAAACCTGTATGATACTATGTAAATAAAATATAAAATAATTGATATTTTGTATTTTGTAGATATTCAATTCTAAAGTAAATGAAAACCGCCACACTAATGGCTTTTTCTGACATGCCCATGGTAGTCCATTTGAAAAGCGCTCATTTGAAGCAATAAGGCATTATACAGGGCAGCTTTCAAATATACAGTCTCTGTATAAAAGGCAGATATTAACTTTAATATCAGCCAAACTAAACTCTTTTAATATTAACTTTTCTTATTTTCTTAAGAGGTGTAGAGAAAATACATTTAATATATGTACTGAGCACACAAAGCAGGCACTCGGTAAATTATAGTTAGTATTACTATCAAACTCATTCTTTAATCAGGGATACCTATCATCTTTTGCATGTCATCCTTCTTCAAAAAACAATTACATGAAGATAAACATGGCTCTTAATATAGTAGTCTTTCTCATATAAATTCAGTGGTTACATTACATACTCAACATATGGGTTAAGAGAATTAGTGATATAATCGTGCCACCCTACACCTAAATACTTAAGAGTTCAGGGGGGCTAAGGGGATCCATTTACTTTTTAGGAGCCCTTGGATAGTTGGAAAGTTATGTATTAGCCTGATTTTATAATAAGGTTTACCTAAAGCATAAAATCCAGCTCTTGCAAGCTGCTCCTTGTTAACAGAGTACATCCACATCCCAAAAGTAATGATCCGTGCTTCATAATCTGCCATGGCTGGGTTTCTTGGAGAATGTGTTGAATTTGGGAAATTCCTATCAGAACTCAGGGTATCAGATTCACTTTGAATATTAACATTCCGGCCCAAAACAAAGAAGCAATTAGGAAAGTGTCGCCTGTGTTCTGACCATGCGCGATCTCGAGGTTCCCAATTTTTTAGTTTTCCACCACAACAAAAGCACTGCACTTGATCATCAACACCTGTATAGTAGAGCCCAGCACTAGCTAACTCTCTTGGGGTTAAGTGGGCATAGTCTGGCCAGTTCTGAAATGTCCTTAATCTAGCTTCTTCACTACACATGGCAGGGTACCTTGGGTACATGGTGTCGGACATATCTACAACCTGTCCAGTTCTCAAAAGATAGTCTGCGTGAGTCTCAGACGGCCTGTCTAAAACAAAATGGTTTCTGTTTCCCAGACAGTTTTCAGCTTTGTACTGCCCATTTTGGATACCAGGATTTGTAGGTTGCGCAGCATTATTTTCAAAATAAAAGCTCTTGATAAATCTGCAATTTGGGGATACTTTCCTGTGTCTTCCAACTGCTGAATCTCCATATTGCCATCTATCTACTGCTGCGTGACAACTAAAGCACCGCACGGTGTCTCCTTCACCAGTATATAGAAAACCAGCTCGTGCTAGTGTTGATGCTGAAACAGGACAACTACTTGGAAAATTAGCAAAAGTTTTTAATCTATTAAACTCTTCTACAAATTCTTCATCTTTATCGATGGCTGCAGGTACACAAGTTTTAGATCCTTCAAAACAGTTAAGAGTCATCTTCTCTTGAAAATAGGACTTGTCCACCTTTTCTAAAAAGAGAACATTACATTAGGAAATCCAAAATGTGAAACATAGGCAATCACTTTTGATATTAGGAACTAACAAATTACTCACTGATGACATAAAAATAATTATACAATCTCTAAGAAACATTCTAATTCTAAATACCAGAGTTCAAGCCATAAAGTAAAAACTATCAATTTTGTTTTCTCTTTTAGAGGAAATATTTAAGCAAGTAGAACAGAACTATTCATTTTAAGTGCTTATTTTACATAAAGATAGAAACTGTGATGCAGAATATATTAAAATTAACCATGTGAAATCATTAATTAGGAAAACCACGAAAGCAGCATAAAATATGCAGAGTCTTAAAGTCTAAGCATAATTGTTATAATGGATCATTATATATTCAAGGCATCAAAGTTCAGTTTCTACAAATTTTTTAAAAAAGAATGTTCAGAATGTTAATGATTTAATTTTAAATATTTCCTTACTTTGTTGTTTAACAAAAGATTAAGTTATTCACAATATTGGTTCCAATGGGCTCTCTAAGAACATCAAAAGTTTCTGATATTCATGAGTAAACAAAGAGGCCATTTTTTGGTTGGAATTGGATCATTTTAGCTGTATATAACTCTGTCCTCTAGATGGTAGCTCAGGAGGAATATTGAGTATGTGTAGTTGCTTTTGCTATCAACTTCTCTTGGTTAAGAAACAATCTATGTAAATGGTAAGAAGTACTACTGCTCATTAGATCTGGCAAATTATAGCTGTGTAACATTTAACCCAATTAAAAAAACTCAAAGGAACTAGTTGCGTTATGAGAAATATGGCCAGTTATTTATCCTCCTAACCTGGACACTTTTGAAAGTGAAAAATGATGCTACTAACAATTACTCTGGGACAAGAGACGTAATCAGGGAGGCAACCCTGGTTCTCGGAGTCTCACGCAGTTCCTAACACTATACTCTGTATATGCTTGTCAAATGCAAAGTAACAGTCACAAGGACTCTGTCTCTACTTCATCTGTGTATTGATCGATTTCTTGGGAAGAATAACCAGCTCTTTTGGCATTATGTTGGCACAATATGTCTTGGAATATCACCCTTCTTAGAGTAATGTTCAACATAAGGCTTCTATCTTGTAGGCTGGCAATGGATATCAGTCTTTCTGGGCCTTGTCAATTTACAATGGTATTAATCCATATACAGCGAAACAGCTGAGTTACAGCTGCATACAACAGTTTTTGGAAGATAGTCTCCATGACTTTTAACTATTGTTTCTCAGATATCTGAAAACATTGATATTAGCGTCAAGGCCCTTTGTTGAATCAGCATAAACTGAATGACAAAAATCAAGATTCAAAGAAACCAAGGCTGGATGATAGCCTAATGGGATACATTTAAAAAAAAAGATCTTAGTTACTTATTTTTAGAGAGGGAGGGAGGGAGGGAGGGAAACATCAATGTGTGAGACCTCAATCAGTTGCCTCTTGCATGCCCCCAACCAGGGACCTGGTTTGCAACCCAGGCATGTGTCCTGATTGGGAATCGAACCAGTGACCTTTCTGTTTGCAGGCCAGTGCTCAATCTACTGAGCGACACCAGCCAGGGCTAATTTGATAAATTTTAACAGAAATATGTGTAAAGATTTGCATTCTGATTTACAAAATCTGTTGCACAACTAAAGGAAGATGGAAACCTGATTTGGAAAGAAGTCACATGAAGGCCAAAGCAGATTAAAATCGTGGGATTTTAGTTAATTGCCAATTCACTGTAAGCCAATATTACATGGCTGCTAAAAACCTTAAAGCAACTCCAGGCTGCATTAATGTCCAGATGTGCAACATCCAGAGCCAATTCAGTTACACTTTGAATATTATTTTAAATTCTGAACAAATTTAGAAGTGATGTTAACAGTGTAGTGTCCCTAAAGAGCTATCAGGATGATGAAAACGGTGTCCTATGAGCACTAGTTGGAGGAGCAGAGAGTGGTCATCTAAAAGGGAAAAAATTGTGAGGAGAGGGATGTAGAGGATATAATAAGTACCTTCAGATATCTAAGACGCTGTCATGTAGAAAAGGGACCCAAATGCTGTGAAGCTTGAGAGCACAATTAAAATCGAGAAATATAACTACAGGCTGTAGATTTTAATCCAATACAAGGATGAACAGTTACAATACCAACAGCAGTTACAGCCCTGACTGGCTTGGCTCATTGGTTTGGGCATCATTGCGCAAAGCACAAACTCACCGGTTTGATACCCAGTCAAGGCACACGCCTGGGTTGAGGGTTTGGTCCCTAGTTAGGGTGTGTACAAGAGGCAACTGATCCATGTTTCTCACATCGATGTTTCTTTCCCTCTTTCTCCCTCCCTTCCCCACTCTCTAAAATGAATGAATGAATGAATGAGTAACAAATAATCAATCTTTAAAAAATAGCAGTAGAAAACGAACTGGGTTACCTTGTAGAATATGAGTTCCTCCCACCACTGGAAGGTACTTCAGCATGGAAGTATTAAATATTTCTAACTCTATAATTACCCTGAAGAATTAATGCTGAATACAATCCATAAGAAAATTACCTTCTGAGATGATGCTTCATTCCTCAGGTCAATCAAAATAGAAGTGTAAAATCAACAATCTATTCTCTTTTCACAACAGTGTACATTTTGTGTGGTTTAAGCAGCCACCCTATTTCATTCATCATTCAGTATTAGCAGAAGAATCTCTATTTGAAGCTTTCAAGTGGAGATCTCATCTTCCCAGAGGTAATTCCTGTGCTAATAGTTTAGATTTCACTGTTTTAAAAAGCAGGTATTTATTCAGAAGTACTCAACTGAACACTACATATACATTATCAGAGGAAAGCTTTTGGAGAAGGGTGAGAAAATGAAATTACCAGACAGGTTAAGACTGGAAAGGAGAAAGATGGCTGACAAAAGACAGAAAACTCAGGTTTGGAAGAAGGTACCAAAAGAAAGGGTGAGAGGATTAAAAAAAAATAATTGAAGTGAAATGAAGGTGGGGAAGATAATGCTTAGAAAGTAAGTATATATGGAGCACAGGAATTGTGAATACAGAAGAAAATGGGGCATAGATATGGGAGAAGGGTGGTAAGGCTTTTGGATGTGAAAATGGATGCAATAAAGTATACTGAGATGATTTAAGGCTTCTTTGTGAAAGCACATTCAGGCTTTATATGGATAAGCAGAAAGGTAACAAGGCACAGAGAAAAAATAGTCAAAGAAAGCTTTAATATAAATGGGCCAGGCAGTCAGAAATCCTGAGGGAAACAGTGCTTGGGAAAAAATGGCAGTATGGAAGCAAACACTGGCAAAAATAGATTCAGGAAGTAGTGTTACATGTTAATATGAGCGGTATGGAAGATTTCAAGATATGAGATGTGTTTAAAATATACATATACATACAGCCTAGTCAACTAGGTGAAGACAGTCACGGGCAGGTGCCAAAGGGAGGAGGCTGATCCAGAGATAATGTGCGAAAACGGGAAGTTGGAGGACAGAGGAAAACACACACAGAAGACCCACCTACCTGGTATCTGAATAAAATACAAAAGTTTGTTTCTCCAGGTCTTTATTATTAAATATATAAAACAAAAGCTATTTTAATAGGGGAAGGATATAAAATAGGATGTACATTAGACTGCTACTGCATGAAAGCATACACTCATGGACAAGACAAAATTACCTGGAAGGTAATTTTTTTCATTCTCACCAGAAGAGATGCTAATTGATTTTAGAGAGAGGGAGAGAAACATTGATTGGTTGCCTGTATATGTGCCCCAAACAGGGACCGAACCCTCAACCTTTCAGTTTACAGGATGATGCTCCAACCAACTGAGCTACACTGGCCAGGGCTGAAAGTTTTGGTTGTTTTCTTTTTTTACACTAGTCTGCATATTTTTTTTTAAAAAAAGATTTATTTATTTTTAGTGAGGGGAAGGGAGGGAGAAAGAGAGGGAGAGAAACATCAATGTGTGGTTTCCTCTTGCACACCCCCTACTGGGGACCTGGCCCACAACCCAGGCATGTGCCCTGACTGGGAATCAAACCAGTGACCTTTTGGTTCACAGGTCTGCACTCAATCCACTAAGCCACACCAGCCAGGACAAGAAATAAAAATCAATGCACCGTGTTCTGTCAACCACAGAAAAAAGCCATATCCAGTCACTGGTATGCCCTAAGACTTTGTACCTGTTTTCAGTTACAGATGTGGATATTTACCCAGAAACACACGGTAGGATTACTGTGATATCTGAACACTGCCTAGGACTCTATACCTGGAAATGTTTCAGTCTAAGGGGGATACCACATGGCTTAGAGAAGATCCCAGGAATCTCTTTATATCCTGGCTTATTCCAGGAGGTCTGGCTCACAGGCCAAGTCTACTGGCTGTTAATGATGATACAGAAGTTTCAGGGAAGTTTTGATCAAGTAATAGACATGATGATTGCAAACAGCTGCAACCTCATCAAAACAGCAAGGCAAATCAGGAGAATACTATTAGGAACAGTAGGACTTCTGGCAGCTCCAGCAAATCAACTGATAGTAGCCTTCTAGGCCGTCTACAGCAGACTCAACCAAAGAGTGAGCCAAAGGATGAAGACACTGATGAGGATGACATTATTATTGAAGATAATGGTGTATGGTATGCCAAGGAAGATTCTTAACGCTGTTCCTACTACTGAAGGCCTTGGAATAGCTGACACAAATAGAACACACTCAGTTTTGAGTCTAGACAGAAAGGTTTTATTCCTTCCAATTAAGTGAGTTTAATATCCCTGGCAAGTGGTGCAATGAGAGAGCCTGAAACATGTTCTGGATTAAAAAATAACTCTTAGAATATGGAACAATTGGAACATCAGGAAAAAAATCGTCTGAATGTTTTCTGAGCGAGGCTGTCACAGGACTCGTAAATTTGGCCAGTTTAAGAGCTTCTAAGCCTCTGATCCAATGCTCTGGAATAGACACGAAAAATAATGATGCAACTTAAAACACCATAAAAAT